CAGTTAGCAACGCGATTATATTACATTTAAAATCAGGCAACAAAATAAAATGCTTTCAAGCACTCACTGGCACATAATGCAACAACATGCTCGTTCAAGACTTGTATCTGTACTCTTGTCTCCTCCCTTGTCTCATTGCTTGCCCTCTCCTCCTCTAACGTCATCCGTCTCTTCAATCCCCATTTGTTAAGCCCAACATCGATCGGGGTACAAATACCGCGTTGTCTAGAAAACTCACGTATCTTTTCTTTGTGATGTTTAACTAATAGGTTGACGTAGTCAGGTCCATATCCACTCTTCCATGTAATTACTTATCTTTTCTTCAGTTCATCCAAGAACTTAGCTTGACCGTTATAACATTTCTCCAGGGATCTATTTGTGAGAAACTTTTAAAAAAAGAGCTAAAAAGTAAAAAAATTCGGACCCCGCGACCCGTCGTCCTCTGTCCACGCTTCCGGCCCAGCGGGCGAGTCGAGTCGGGCAAGGTGGCGCGACCGCAGCAGAATACAATACGATACGACCCCTGCTGTACTGTATCCGAAACGGTGGCCGTTGGTTCCTGTTCCCAGGCCAGGACCCAGAAACCGATCATGAGATGTCTGTATATATATAAATACATGCCGTTGTTTCCTTTTTGATTGATTGGATTGGAAAATAATACAGATCATGTTTCGGGGTGTGCTCTCGGCGCTTGCCAACATGTGGATGTGGTGGTTTCCTCCTCTCCGCCGCCGGCCCTCCTCGTCCCCCGACGCCGCAGCATTGTCAGTGGACGACGAGGTGACCCAACACAACAGCAACCCAGCAACAGGCCTTCGATTCACCGATCTTCCACCGGTATTGTATATACACACTATTATTTCATATTCAATCAACTGAATATATGTATGTACTAATGAGAGAGAGAAAAAAACTTGCATGCATGCAGGACATTTTGTACACGATCGTGTCGAAGCTGCCGGCAAAAGAAATTGCAAGAAGTAGCGTCCTGTCAAGCGAGTGGAGGCGATGCATGCGTCTGTGGTCAGCGTGCCCCAGGCTAACCTTCGATGCTGTGTCGATATGCAAATGCGAGAGGTACGAGCTGAGCGAAACCACCCAGGTGGCGAGATTCATCCCTCACGTCAACGGCGTCTTGCAGAAACACCGTAGCCGCTGCGCCGTCGTGGAAACGCTTGAGGTCAGAACCGATTTCGTCGGCGGCGCCCACGGCCTGTTAGCTCATCACATCCACATGTGGGTGGAATTTGCCGTCTCGTCGTCGCGGACCAAGAACCTATCCCTGGATCTCAAGCCCGAAACCTGGTGGGAGCACGATGGATCTTGTCTACCCCGAAAGCAGGATCTGTACGTGTTTCCTTTCCGGCAGCTGCTTTCAGTTTCAGACAACAACTGGGGAAGCAGCCTGCAGCAGCTGCACCTTAGCTTTGTATCTTTCAGACCACCGTCGCAGTTCAAAGGCTTCCCGAATCTGAGGAAGCTTCGTCTGGAGGTGCTGCATATGGCCAGGGAGGATCTTGAGCACCTGCTGTCCCGTTGCGCCAGCAAGATCCAGTGGCTTCACATAGACAGATGCGTCGTCGACGATCAACTCACGCTGGCGACTCCACTGCCTAGTCTGCTCTACCTCAATGTTGAATATGGCCTCGTCACCAAGATAGACATCAATGCTGCCAATCTAGCTACCTTTGAGTACACCGGACGCTTGGTACCTATCCGTCTTGTCCATTCGTTGAACCTGCAAAGTGCAAATCTAGACTTGCTCAAGGCGGTTTTTGAGCATGCGCTCATATCCCTTGTCAATGGTATTCCAAGCGTGCAGAGCCTCACCTCCGATTTGAGGCCTGGTTTGAAATATCTAGAGGTGCCGTACTGTTCCTAACTATTTCATTCATGTTTTATTTCAAATCACAATCAATAATAATGTAATAACCTAGCTTCAAACAATTAATTAATTTTCTGTGTTTCAATTCTTACTCTCTCAGAAGCAATGGTCGTGGGATCGCCCGTTAAAAAGGTTTTCCAATCTCCGGCATTTACAGTTGCTAATTCGATATTTCCACTACGAGGTTGACAAGCTTCTTTATTCATCGGTTTCATTCCTGAGAGCCGCACCGTTTATTGAAAAGCTGGAGGTCCATGTAAGTCCCATCCATGTTAGTACATTATATATATTTTTCAATGTTTCGTAATTTTCCAATTCATTCAAGTGTTACGTATTATTCGTCCTCTTATTATTACTACTGATACCCAGCTAGGGGGCGAAGCTGTTCCATATATAACTAGGGGTTCAAATGCACTCCTCAAAAAATTTAAAAAAAATAGTGATTATATTATGTATATAGCTAAAATTTCACCAAGTCTATCTATATGCACCCACAGCAAGGTTCTTGTCTTAATTTGTTCATGATTTACTCTTTTTGCAGTTTGTTGGCTTCAATCTATGGTTTGCACAAGGGGGTCCAAGCCGAAAAGACCTTGGGCAATGTAAATGCAAATATAATCATTTGAAGAACGTATGGATCTCAGGATTCAGAGCAACAAGAGGGCAACTCGAATTTCTTCTCCATATCATTGAAAATGCGGATGCACTGGAGGTTCTTAGAGTAGAAATTGGTCAATATCCATCATTTAATTACCGGCGATATGGAGGCGGTGAACCACCCGTCGAGGAAGCTAAACAAATTGCTAGAACCACCATCAGTACAGTACTCCCGCAGCATGTCACGTTTGATATTGTCTAGATAGATCATCTTCTCGTATACAGTAATACAGTAATATAAGGTAGGGGGACAGCCGGACATGTGAAACCGTTACTACGCGTGGTTTTTGCATGCATTGGGCCCTCCAATATAGCCGTATAATAAACTCATGTATAATAATATGTTTACATCGTCATGCTCAAGCGTGAGTGCGTTGTACTCCCTCTGCACAAAAAAAAACCCTGACGTTTAGGACATGATTGCGGTAACTAAGGAATTTTGCATGGGCGTGCATGCCACTGTTTCACCGACGTGGCGCGTCCTTTTTTCGCGCGGATGGAAGCTGGAGTCGCTTGGGGGCCTGCATTTTCGCTTGGCACGCGTTTCAGGTTGTTTGATTTTCTTATTTCGTCTGCGCGCTCGGATGGCTGATGGTACGCGCTCGTTTCGAATGAGAAGACCGACGTTTGAGCTGCCTGTACTCCACGCCACTGGCTTATTTATGCGGCAACTTGCTTTCTCTCTTCTCCAACACCATTTACTCCCTTGCCTTCCCTGCCTTGCTTGGTGCTACTACGCCGCCATGGACTAGCCGTTCTCCTTGCACATCTACTACTACGGCATAATGGTTGATTACTTCTCTGGCTTTGATCTCAACGTTCGTGTAGAAGAAGAGGACGGCAACCTGCCGTGGGATCTCAACGACGGCAGCGGTAACCATCTATTATTAGTTCCATTTTGTTTTGTTGTTTCTGTGTGCGCGATGGCAACCTACCGTGGGATCTCAACGACATCAACGGTTTCATGTTGCAGAGCATGAAGATGGCGATGGCAACACTGAGTTTCATCTCGCAGAGCATGAAGATGATGACGGCGACGCTTTTTTGATCTGAACGAGCCTCCGTTGGAGCATGGCAACGGTATGTTCTTTTCTTTTTGGACATGAATTGTTTCATTGTATCCGGTGGAGCATGGCATGCATATTAGGTTCCATTCTCAGCATGCTCTTTTATTTTTGGACAGGAATTGATTTGAACTTGCCACTAGATGAATTTGGAGCTGTGGATTTTGATTATTTACATAACCCCCATGGTAAGCATGCCTATATTTACATCATGCTATTTACATCAGCAAATCTAGGATTCAAAGGTATTTGAAAAAGGGTTTGATTAGGCGCCACTCTAGTAGTATCAAACCTTATCTCACTAATGCTAACAAGAAGACTAGGTTGAAGTGGTGCATTGACATGATTGACCAAGGTTTGCTTGATGATCCAAAGTTCAAGGATTTGTTTGACTTTGTGTTTATTGATGAGAAGTGGTTCTACCTCCATCAAAAATCAGAGAGGTACTACTTGCTACCCGAGGAAGATGAGCCACATCGAACTTGCAAAAACAAGAACTACATCCCTAGGATCATGTTCTTGTGTGTATGTGCTCGGCCAAGATTTAGAAATGGAGAATGTGTGTTTGATGGCAAAATAGGTTGCTTTCCACTAGTCGCTTTTGAACAAGCTATTAGAGGAAGTCACAATCGCCTTCGTGGAGAGGAAGTAATCAAGCCAATTCAATCAATCACAAGGGAGGTGATCAGAGAATTCATGATAAATAAAGTTTTGCCTGCAATTAGAGCCAAGTGGCCAAGAGAAGATGTGCACAAGCCTATTTTCATACAACAAGACAATGCTCCTTCTCATTTAAAAGTGGATGATCCTCAATTTTGTGAGATTGGTAAGCAAGATGGGTTTGACATTCGGCTCATATGTCAACCACCCAATTCTCCAGATTTTAACATCCTAGATTTGGTTTTTTTCGAGCTATTCAAGCTATTCAATACAAGAAAAATGCTAAGACAATGAAAGATCTAATTCCAGTTGTGCAGCAGGTAAATGATCATCCATTTGATTGTTTCAATACAATAAAGATTCTAAGACAATGAAAGATCTAATTTCTTGAACACATTTCTTGTAGGCATTCTTGGAGTACAGTCCATGGAAAGCAAACAAGATATTTGTAACACTACAAACTGTTTTGAAGGAAGCAATAAAGATTAAAGGTTGCAACAATATAAAGATTCCTCACTTGAACAAACAAAGACTAGAGAGGGAAGATAGGCTGCCATTGCAAATCCCCTGTGAAGCTTCCTTGCTAGCCGAAGCAATTGCAAGTCTCCCTGCATGAAAGCATTAGAAAAAGCAAGTTAGCTTTTGCACTTTACTGATTTTGTAATAGCAGCAAGCATGTTAGAAGATGCAAACACGTTACAGTAGTAGCAAATTAGAAAAAGACATGTAGTACCTTATTGTTCTTTGTTTGCATCTTGTTTGAGCTTTGCAAGTTCCAACTTCTTTGCATCTCTGAGCTTGTCCAACTTGTTGATGACGTGCTCTGGCAGAATGATGGTGTTACCATCCATTTGAAGTTTGGAAACATCTGGGATGTAGATCTCACAGTCGAACTTGTCCAGGTAGTCCAACCACTTTGCTATCATATCGTAGTCTTCATGTAAGAGGCCACAACGGGCACACCGGCGAGCTTCGCGGCGAGCTTGGTAGCATTCCTCTCCGAAGACGCCGCCGGCATGGAACGTGCCACAGCGAGGACAATGCACCACCTCGTCCAGCTGGTCGGAGTCCGGCAATACATCGACGGAGTCCGGCAGCACCGCATCGTACTCCAGCTGCACCTCGATGGAGTCGGGCAGCTCCTCGATGGAGTCCGGCACCTCCTCGACGGAGTCCGGCAGCACCGCGTCGGAGTCCTGTAGCACCTCGTCGGAGTCCTGCAGCACCTCGCCGAGTCCGACACCACCAGCGAGGTTGAGACGGTGTGCGCGGCGAGCGTCGACCGTGGGCGAGCATGCGGCACGACGTCCGCGGAGACCGGCGCGACATCCGCGGAGACCGGCGAGCGTCGAGCGTGTGCGAGCACCTCCTCCGAGCGGCGATCGAGGCTCCACCGGTAGGAATCCATGGCGAAGGCTAAACCCTAACAAGGTGGCGGCGGCAGAGTTTCTGCGAGACGGAGCGATGGAGGAGCGAGGAGGCGTGGCTATGTCGGGAGACGAAGAGAGGAGGCGCGCGTGCTTCTGCTGCAAGTACTAAGGGCGAGGAACGGAAGCGGCGGCGCATGCATGGCCAAGGGCATTCGCGTCCAATGTTTCCATTGGGAGGCCATAAGGTCAGCTTATACGAAAATGGGTTGTTGGCCCAGGACGTCTAGTATCTTGAATACGGAGGGAGTACGTAAACTGTGTAAACCGTAAACTATTTCTTCTTCTCGGCCTGGTTTAGTTCCCAAAAATTTTCACCCCAAACTATCACATCGAATCTTGCGGCACATGCATGGAGTATTAAATATAGACGAAAAAAACTAATTGCACAGTTTGGTTGAAAATCGCGAGACGAATGTTTTAAGACTAATTAGTCCATAATTAGCCACAAGTGCTACAGTAACTAACATGCATTAGTGATGGATTAATTAGGCTTAATAAATTCGTCTCGCGGTTTCCAGGCGAGCTATGTAATTAGTTTTTTTATTTGTATCCGAAAACCCCTTCCGACATCCCCGAAACATCCGATGTGACATCCAAAAATTTTCATTTCGCGAACTAAACACAGCCCCAGTGTAAAAATATGCAGTTCTACTTCATATCGCTTTCTAAAAAGAGAGAGAGGTTTAGAGCCTTGCATAAGTTTTTTTAATAATCATATAAATGGCAGTGGAACTTGAACTAAATTACACATCAATCCACTCCAACACATGTAGATTAAGATGAATCCGACAATATCCAAACAAGACGTCCGTGGGAGGCGAGGGAAAAAGAAAATGGCCCAGGGAGGCGGGATCGGTAGCCTTCGTGATGTCAGGCCTTTTTTTCCAAGATTTGTGGTTTCCTTAATTATTTCCTCCGTCCTATTATATAAGGCGTAATCACTTTTTATTCAAGTCCCATGATATAAGGCACCCCCTCTCTATACGCACGTATATTGATGCAATAGTACTAGTGTTGAGAGAATTAAATATGTTTCTTGGTCTTTGAACCAGAGGTCGTTACGTCTTATATATTATACTAGGATGGAGGGAGTATTTCATGACCTGATTATATACATTCTATCGCTATAGCATTTCCTTCTAAAAAAGTCAAACGAGTGTTTATCGCCTGACCCCCTTACATGACCGGAGAAAACTAATTAAGGAAAGGCTTCACCACGGCCGGGCAGAGTGAAGTGGGGCGACGCACGTCGTCCTGCCGGGTAGAGTCTTCCTTTGGTGTTTTTTAGTTGTAGAGACAGAGTTGGAGATAAACGAACTAACTAACATGGTGATACACAACCTAGGATTTATCTAGTGTGCTCTCCATAACGAACCAAAAGTTTCGCAATCTAGAGCAAATCCTATCACTAGCCTATGCTAATCTAGGAAATTGTTAATGCCACAAAAACAGCTCAGGTCCCGGGCTCAACGACTACATAAAGGAGCAAATTTTCTAGGATTTAACGACCTTATGCTTTTAGTGCTAGGCGATGTTCTCGTCGACAGCGAGGCATCTGTATCGTCAATCTCGAGGATTTGCCAACCCAATCTTCGAAGATGCTCATAGGGGTAGATTTGCATGCGTGTGTTGATAGGGATGAGAGCAAGGCTAATAATATAGCCGGCTGCTGGATGTAAGGTATCTTTGTAGCCTTCTCTCAGCCCACTTATATAGTTGTTAGCTTTTCATTATTAATACATAGTCCACTTGTCTCTCTCACAGAGTTTCTTGGTTCTTGTGTCAAAGCCGATTGTAACCTTACACCCCGCTTCTCTTCTCTCCTCTCCTCTCTCTCCTCTACCTCAACATTTAGCCAGGTTACAGCTTGTTATCTAATAAGCACAGATCGACTAAACTACGTATTGTTGGGTGTCGACTCCCACGAGGCCACGACGAAGGCTGCCACGGATCGACAGGATGGAAGCGAACCCGGCCCTGGGCATCTCCCGCGGGCGCGGGCCCCCCGACCCCGAGCACACGCGGCCACCACAACGTTGTCGAGCGGGCGAAGCATTACGGCGGGCATGGAAGGCGTAGCCGCCGCGCGGCGACGCTGAACACGGCCGGGGTGAAGAGCGCGGAGGCGGCAGTGGAGGAGGAGGAGAGGAAGGCGTGGATGGCGGTGTGTAGTCGAGGATGGATGGCGGCGGGTGGCTCGACCTGCCTGCACCTGCCGCCTGTGAATGTAAACACGAAGCTGCCAGGTTGCCTCAAGTCAATCACTGGAGTCAACGGAGGCTAATAAGCTTCTGATTTCAAAAAAAATGATAGTACCTCCTGGAGTCAACGGACTTGCTCTACACCAAGTACCTCATCCTGTTCAGCTCCGGCTTCCCGGTCGTCAGCACGGCGCTATTCGCGTGGCGACGGTCGCATGTCCGTGTGGATCACCGTGTCGGCGCCTCTGAGGTAAGGCACTACCGGCCGGGTTCCCCACGGGAAGCTCGTCTAATGTCGTCCATGGCAAGAACGTGGACCTGCTCATCACCTTTGTCATCGTGGGGCATGGTTACCCGGGGATGAAGGCGAGTTCTTCATCGACCTCTTCTCTGACTGGACTAAGGTACGCGCGTGGCGTCAGCGTCACTACGTACCAATTAGAGAGCTTGACATATAAATTTTCCTCATTCAGCGTTGACGTGATTGGCTGATTCAATCTCCTCAGTGGCCATCTGCCATCCTCGTATATAAACGTATAGTACAGCTCTGTACCGTGGCTATAAATTTTTTCACAGTGAATGCATTCGTGGCCCCGTGACCGGATCTGGTGGAGCCCGGGGAGGAGGTCACGAATTCATGTGAGGCTGAAGGCGGAGCGGCGCGTGCGGGCGTGCTGGCGGCACTACGGCGCACGCGCGGGGCTGAACCGGCGTTGTAGCAGCACGTGCTGCAGTGGCGCAGGCAGGCGCCCCACCTCGTCTGCCCTGTTCGTCGGCAAGACCCTGGTTCGGCGCCACGGGGCTTGGGCTCAGCCAAATTTGGGCTCCATGTGGTGGTACTTGTGTTTGAGTGTGGTTGGTTGTGCCGGTCTTGTGCCTCGGTAGTCGGGGTGCGGCGTAGGCGAGGCTGGTGGGCTGGGGATGCCTCGTTCCATCCCGGGGCTTCCTGCGGTGGTCTACGCTGGTCAGGATGTCAGCGGTCCTCGTCGACTAGTGTTGCATCGTGTTGGCAGTGCTTGTTTGTTGCAGCAGCGACAGCTTGTCCACATCGGCTCTCTTTAGTCGTGGCCACAACGATTGGTCTCGCTTAGCGGTGGCCAATTTCGGCAGGGTTGCGGTAGCTCCTTTGGTTGGTGAGGCATAGCGGGTACGTTGGTGGCAACTCTGCAGGACTACTACCAACTATGGTGTTTCAACGGAAGGTCTTGGTTGTGGCATCCATGGACAGTGGTGTGCCAAGCTTTCTCTTGTGAGTGACCTTTAGTGGTTGGTATCTGTTCGGTTGGATGTGGTCGATTTCGACCGGCGCGGTTGTGACTGGCCACGCATGCTAGTGTTCGGCTCGCTACCGCTGTGACAACCAACAGATGGAGCCTCGTTCAAGATGGTTGCACGTGCGGGAATGCTCGTGGCATCTCTAGAAGCTTGAGGGACGACGACGTGCAACGAAGTCGGCGACACCCTTTGCATGGTGCAGGAACAAGATGTGACCTCCCCGTGACCTCCCATGTAGGATGGAGGCGGCCCTTGCAGGCTGGCGTGGCGGAGACAGATCACGCATGCCTGTGACCTCGCCGGTACCACAACGATCTCCTACTAGCGGTGGCTTGCTGCTGTTCTTGGCTGCCAAGCCACAGTATGGCTCGTTTGGGGCTTGGGCATGGGGGTTGTCGGGCGGTGGCCCTGCTAGGCCCTTGTTCGTGGCCGACAATAGTGTCGCCTTTGGCGTCACGCCCCTCGTTGGAGGCATTGTTGTCAGGCCCCTTTACCCTCTAGGAGTTTGGTTGAAAAACCATGGCTCTCCTATTAGCGTTGACGACATCTGTGGTTGTCGTTTCCCTCCTTGGAGGCATCGCTATGGAAAACCTACTCATCCTTGTTTACTTTGCTTGTTCTTTGTGGCGTTCAAGGTGGTGTTTGAAATTTTGTTGCTCTCTTAGGTTCGTAGGTGTTGTGTTTTCGTGTGGTGGTGGTCTTGCTGTTGCCTCTTTCATGAGAGTTTTGTTTTGTTTTTAATTAATTTTTGTAAAACTCATCTTTTCTATTAATATATACCCGAAATACTATTGCCGCTGGTTCTTCAATAAAAGAAAGATATAAAGAGAGAGAGGCCCTCTTTCTTCTCTTTTCTTTAGCAGCCCCATTCATTGTATCATTGTATGTACTCTCTGTACCGAGCCAAATTATTTTGATATTTGAATAAATTTATAAAAAAATACACCAGAAGGCAGAAGGAGCTCGGCACGGGCGGCGAGTTCATCACGCACCTCGATCTGGGCGGTCCTCTACCACGCGGGCATCAACGACAAGTTCTCGATCTCGTCCGCCGCCACCGCCGATGCTCCGCCTGGCAGAGACGACACCTACGGTCGGAGCAGCCCGTGCTAGGTCCGTGTGCCAGAGTGTGTGTTGGTGTACGTGCACGTACTGCGTGTTTTTGTATTCGTCGTAGAGGTGTTTAGCGAGCCAGGGTCGTCAGACTCACTCGTGTGTGTCCCCATGCATACACGTACGTTTTGGCTTGGTTCCCTGCTCGCTGTTCCCCCGGCCGCTTCTGTGCTGTGCACGAGACGTTGCAGCTTTGGGCTCAAAGTTATGTGGGCTGGAATATACTGGACCATGCTGTGAATTCCCGTCGACATGTGGTGGTTGGGCCTGCGTTTTTGTGTGCAGTAAGCGAGTTGGGCTTCAGCCTGCTGGTCCCCGAAATTCCATCGGCACTTTCTATTCGACGTGCAATTATTTTTGGTTCTTAATCTGACAGATAAATTTCTTTCAATCAAAGATGATGCATCAATCAAGCAGACTCATTTCGTGCGTATAAATTTCTGCCCGCTCTCTGCAACGCGCGCGGTGGCGCGAGCTGCCGTCTCTGGGGCCGACACCGGTGCTGCGCACGCTACCGCACGGCCAGCCGCTGCCACGGCCGGAGCACATGCACCGTGTGCTGCCACTGCCGATGCATGGCCGGCGGCCACAGCTCCAGCCCGAGGATCCTCAAGTGTTCGACGACGACGAGCAGGTAGGGCCGCCCTCCGGCGACCAGCGACAGGCCACGGCGTCATCCAGATCCGGTGGGACGTTAGCTGTCAAGAGTCGCGAGGGGCTCGTACATACGTCGCGCGACAATTTCGCCGTCCTCGTGCACGTCCAGGCTCGCGGGATGACGGATGGCGAAGCGGCGTCCGGCGACGCGCCTCTCGACCTCGTGACAGTGCTGGACGTCAGCGGCAGCATGACCGGGGCAAAGCTCGCGCTCCTGAAGCAGGCCGTGGGGTTCGTCATCGACAACCTCAGGCCCCAGGACCGCCTCAGCGTTGTGTCCATCTCCTCCGGGGGGGCGCCGTGTCACCAGGCTCTTGCGGATGTCGGGCACCGGGAAGGCTACGACCAAGAGGGGCTCCAACATCGCCGAAGGGCTCCGCACGGCGGCCAAGGTGCTCGTCGACCGCCGTCGCAGGAACACCATGTCCAGCGTCATACTCCTCTCCGACGGCCGGCCAGGACACCAACACCGTACGACGCCGCGGTGGTTGCGGGGCACCGCACCCAACTTTGAGGCCGTCCTTCATGTCCACTGGCAGGCACCAGAGATTGGTCGGCGCCGACTCACACGTGTGGATTCGGCAACGACCACGACGCGGCCTCCATGCATGCACGTCATTGCTGAGGCCACCGCCGGTAGGCGATCATCCAGGACGCGTTCGCGCAGTGCATCGGCGGCCTGCTCACCGTCGTGGTGCAGGACGCGCGCGTCGCCATCGCTTGCGGGCATCCCGGAATTCGCGTCTGCTCGATCAAGTCCGGGCGTTACTGACAGCCCCGCCGACGAGCACGGCCGCTCCGCTTCTGTCCGCGTCGGCGAGCTATACGCGGATGAGGAGCGGCGTTTCCTGCTGTTCTTGTCTGTCCCAGCCGTGAAAGTAACGGACGGCGAGACTGCTCTGACCAAGGTGAGCTGCAATTACCGAGACACGGATGGAGGCGCGCACGTCGACGTGATGGCGGAGGACACGGTGGTGGCGAGACCGGAACCGGAGCATGTGGTGGACGCGGAACGCTCAACGGAGGTGGAGCGGGAGCGCGTCCGTGTGGAGGCGACCGAGGACAACGCTGCGGCGAGGGCGGCGGCGGAGCGGGGCGCGCACCAGGAGGCGGTGGAGATACTCGAGAGCAGGCAACGAGCGGTGGCGCAGTCGGCGGCGGCGCTTGGCGGCGACCCCACGATCCTGGCGCTGGGGGCGGAGCTGCACGACATGCCCCGCTTCGTTTCGAACGGGAAGCTACGCGCGGTCGCGGCGCGCCTTCATGTTGATGCTCTCTGGCATCTGCATGCACACGCAGCAACGCGCCAACATGAAGAGGACCTCAAGTTGTCTAGGCTCGTTTGGTAGCTCTCCGGCTCCTCTCAAGATAGCTCTAGCTCTGTCTCTTGTGCTGGAGCAGATTCTCTGGCAGAGCTGAAGCTATTTTGACAAACCATTTAGCTAAACAGCTCCTCATGTCTGTTATGAATGGCTAAGATAAGGACAATGTCCGAGATGCCCTGGTTATGTAACTTGTTGCAGTTGAATTATATGTTTGCAAATGTACTTATATTTCAAGATGCAAACAATAATTTCTACATTCTATATATCAGTAAAATGTATATAATATCCTTTTTTATTTATATTCTTCCTTTTTTATTTTTTCCTTATTTGTATCTATTTTTTTATTTTGTTGTCCTTTTTTTATCTTCACCACACGGCACCTTATCCTCAATTCTCTCTTTTTTGTCTCTTATTATCTCCACTGTATATAGGATTCACTTTTTCTCCATGCAGTCCCTAGGCAGCATGCGCTCGGCTTCCTTCTCTTCGTTCTTTTTCAGCCTGTTCGTTTTGGCTGAATTGACTTATAAGTTATGGTTGAAAGTACTGCTGCCTGGTTTTGTGTGAGGAAAAAACACTGTTTAAGCCGTGGATTATAAGTCAGATACGAGCGAATAAGCCGAAACGAACAGGCTGCTTATCCACAGGCAGCATGCTTGCTATCCGCTCGCGACGCGCAGGCTCCATGCAGACGGAAGACCGGCAGCTGCACGCAACCGCGCCTCGGCGGCCATGGCGCTCCGGCAACCCCGGCGGCCCTCGGCGACCCCGCCTGCTGGCCATGGCGCTTCGGCAACCCTGCATCCACGCGACGGCGGCCCTCGGTGACACCGCGCTAGCACAGACCGATGGGGGCAAATCCGCCCGATGGCATGTGCCGGGCCCATGGCTGCCCGTGGGAGCCGGTCGAAGCTACGTTTTTGCAGCTCCATCCTTGTCTCTCCTCTCCTCTCCTCTCAGTGGGTTTTCCGCAGCTCCGGGAGCGGAGCGGATCCGTTTGTTGGCGTTTGGCTGGTGGGAAGGTGCAGCTGCTCCTAGAGCTGGTCCAGGAGCCATACCAAACGGCCCCTAATTCTTTCGCCGTCTCGATCTCGAATCCCGATGAACGATGCCATGGTCCACGGAGGCGTCGTCATTCGCGACGCTGGTCGTGCGAGCCATACTGCTGCGGTCGCGGATGGCGCGGGAGGACTCCTCGGTCGAGCAGCAGCCTCCGTACAAATTTTTGTTTTTGTTTGGTTGCTAGGTGCAAATTTTTGTGAGGAATGGATGAATGTAAATTGATATTTGGGGTCAGAGGCTGGGATTTTGGGTTTTCAAGGAAGGTCTCCATGTATGGCAGTCTATTTTGGGATTGCGGTGGTGGAGTTTCGTGACACATTAGTAAATTTTGTGAGATGGCAGATTAATTAATGGTGACGGGGATGAAGTCCTTTTTTAGTTATATATGATTTTATTTCGACCAGTTTTCTTTTGTAGTTGCACTCGTTGGCGTACTTGTAAGCTTAGAGTTACGTTCATATATAGTTTTTGGCTTTCTGCCCCTATACAGTTGTGCGTTTTCTTTTGGGCTCGGATTCTCTTACAAATTAGGACATTTATATCTACTTGTGGCCAATAAAAGCTTTGTTGTACTTTTAAAGACGAAAATTATGTGCAACTAAACGCACTGTCAGTCGAATATTCAGTTCCCGAATTTGAGAATGGACTTTTTTTTAGCAGATCTAAGAATGGACTTGGCGTGACACGGTTGATACCTGGGCTTCTTCCCGCCGGCCCATCTTCAGCCCGACGTCTGCTATTTTGTTAGGCCCACGTCGTGGAAGATTGGTTTTGCGGTGCGGCAAAGACCTGGCCACCCCAGCAAGTCAAGAACAGCAGCCTTTTTTGTTTATCAAAAAATAAAAAGGAACAGCAGTCTTTTTCATCTGAAACCTAAACTAACCCGGCCGTCACCTCGTGGCCCGAGAGGGAGTCTAAACTCCTGGTTAATGCAGCGGGTTGACAGGTGCCAATGTGCCGTTCTCATGCATATCGCTGAATGTACGACGCCGTACACGTGATCGCGACCGCAGACTTCCCTGACGACGGAGGTCGACTCGGCCTGCATGGCGGCTCCGATCCGCCGAGGTCAGCACGTACAGCACCTATGGTTGGTACCCAGCCGCTCGTGCCAGTCGCATTCGAGCATGTCCACCGAGAGAAATGCATGGCGAGCTAGCTAGACCATCTGAAGCAGTAGTCGTAGTCGTCTCTTCCTCAATTATGATGTTCTTTTTATTACCTCTATCTATTACATTTATTTTTTTCATATATAATGTTCACATAGTGTATATGTATAATGTTCTATGTTATGTTTCTGGATATTCATATAGTATAAGTTGGATGTTCCACGATTATATTCGAGTATTCATATCGTATTCGCGAGATGTTCCGAGGTATATTTTGTTTTCTTAAGTAGTACCATGTGATATTCATAGTGTAGTGGTTGGGAATGATTTTATAAAATCATGGGTCCTGTGTTCAACTCTTTTTGCGCAACATTTTTGTTTCTGTTTTTTTTCTCTTCTAGCGCGCAAGCAGGACCACACGATGTTGGACCATTTGTCTTGTTCGCGTAGTGGGTTCGGCAGGGGCTGAGACGGTGTCCGTGTCACGGCTCACCGCTCACCATGCATGGCTCAAAATGATGAAATTGCTCTATTTAGCTCCAATTTCTCTAATTAAAAAACCGTTTCGGAGAAAGACTTCTCATGGTTACTCAAAATGATAAAATGTCTATAATACCCTATAGTTTTTTTTTGCTTTTCCTTCGTATATTCACTTCTCTCTCTACCTTATCCCAATGGCATGAACGGACGCTCGCGACGTCGTCACCCCAGCCTTAGCCCCTCCCCGCCAGCCTTGACTGCCCCGGACCCACTCGTGTCGCCGTCTCCATGCCCTGCGCCATCGTCGCCCGCCCTCGCCTGCCTCGGGCACTGATGTGCCCCCGAGGCAAATCGGACACTGGTGGCGCCATGGTCTCGCTAAAGCGCCTTGGTGACCATACTGACCATTGTGGTGCACCGTTTAGCAAGTTTAGAGATCCAGAAATATGTTTTCAAAGTTTTTGGATCTACTATAAGTTTGGAGATACAGATGTTGCTGATATTTTTTCTACAAACCTAGTCAAACTTAAAAGAGTTTGACCGGCATGATTACCATAGACCAAGTGACATTTTTTTCGGGGCCGAGGAGCAAGTGCATCGTTTGCCAAGTGATTGCCCTGTTCGTTTGTGCTGGTTTGGCTTATAAGCCATGGCCGAAAGTACCGTTGGCTAGTTCGGTGTGATAGAAAAATAATGTTCATTGGCAGATAAGTCATGGCTTATAAGCCAGATACGTCCGAGCGAACAGGTTGGAGGTCAGCCATGCATTTAACATTGGAAAATGTCAAGGACTCAGCTATAGTAGGGATTTTGGCGTTACATTGATTGAACCTGAACAGGTCCACGACCACGTGAAGCGCTCCCGCATTGGCCTTGGTGGCACGTGGCAGTGGCAGCAACAAAGATGACGATGACTTGCGTCCGCACGTGCTTCGGTAGGGGGCAGTGTCCGTACCGCTTGTATGGACGATGAGTTCGTGCCACTACTGTAGATTCAAACTCTGATTCACGAAGTCATCCAAGAGCTCGTGTACAGAATCCTTTGCCTGGAACGTTAGTCGTTTGCCTTTCTTAGCAGGTGCCACGTGCACCATTTTTATATTTATATCTATCTATGCCACGTCGTCTTCGTCACTGCCTCAATGGCCTCACGTCTCACGACATGGCAACACACACTAGCTCTGTGCATTGAATTGAATAATAATAACATGAGACGGGAAGCATGGCCTGCGAGGGCTCCACCTCCACGGAGACGGTGATGTGGCGGCGCTGGACGCCAACGAACGCCTTGTCTTGGGCTGACGACCCGCCGCCGTCTCCGTTCGGCACGAGCGTGGACAGCGAGGCCGCAACCACCGGCACTGCTGTCTCGGACGCCGACGAGAGGCGCGGCCTCGTGGCGGCGCGCTCTGCATGCGACTGCGCCGGGCGCGCGCGTGACGACGCCGTGTTGGCCGTGAACGGGCCTGTCATGTGTGCGCATCAGCTCGGCATGGGCTCGGACGAGGACCTCCACTCCGCCGCTGCTTCCGGATCTCTACGGCACCAACCGGCCCGGTCGCCGCCGCCCCCGGCGAGAACGAACGACGACAAGGTCACCCACGCCACGCGGCCGCACGCCGCAGCAGCCAGCTGATACTTGCGTGCGACGTTGGCATTTCTCCAGAGCTTGCTGCATGTGTTGCCATCCATTGCCTGCCAATGCCAATCGCAGCCGGCAGCTTCCCCTTCCGGCCCACCACTCGCCCCTCCATCTCCACCTCCTCCTGCGCTGCGATCGGAGGCGCGCCGGAGCCTGACGAAGGATCTGGTGGCGGCGTACGCCGGAGCATGCACGTCCATCGACATGGAGTTCACCTGCAGTCCGTCGTATTGGACGGTGACCACGTCCGAGTCCTGCACCGTGAACACCGCCGCCGCCACGACGGCCGCGCGCGTGCGGAGGACGACGGCGAGGACCAGCTCCAGCCCTGTCCGTGGCCGTGGAGCGCGCCCTCTATATGGCGGCGCTCGAGGCCACCAAGAGCGCCGTGTGCTCCGCCTCGGCGTCGCGGAACCGGCCGCCTCTGCTGCCGCCTCGGACGCGGGCGGTGTCTCTGCTGCCGTAGCCGCGCAGGTGGTGTGGACCCCGGTCGACGTCGTCAGCCAGCGTCTCATGGTCCAGACGGCGCCCGTTGCTGCCGCCCGAGCGGCTCCTCTGGCCTGCCGTCGGCCCCGCGCACAACGACAGCCGCGATGGCCGTGCAGGGTGCGAGCGCCGGCGCGGCGGGAAGCGCGGCCGCGCTGGTGACGATGCCACTGGACACCGTGAAGACGCGGCTGCAGGATCGGTCACGCGGCGTCCTTCGTCCACGACATCCAGGATCGGACTCGGACAGCACTGCAAGCCCAGCAGCGGAGCTTGCCGTGGTGGCCGACGCACCAGGGCGGCGCCGCCGTACCGGAAGCCGCACGACCTGAAGAAGGCCTGGAAGATGTCGCTGCTGAACTGAACCTGAGCGCAGCACCTGACTGAGCCCGCGCGCGTTCGTGAACCGGTCGGTGCACGCAGTGTGGCCGCTTGAGCCCACGGGGTTTTCCGTTGGAGCCCCCGCCGGCCGCATTGTGGCCGTGCACGGGCT